AAAATCAAAATCAAAATCAAATCACCTTTGGCTGCTGAGCATTGAGTTCAACAACCCTTGGAGGGCTACACTTTTCTTATTTCTATATGTGGGTTATATAACAGGGAGGAAGCATTTTGAGTGTCACATCCATACATTAGGTTGCTACAGTAGATGATCAGTTCTGTTGGCACACCTCTATATCTCATGAATGTATTTGGCTGGAAGGCTGAGCTAAGTTTTAATTCTGGTCTGAGACTCTGGAGAAGGATTGCCATGAGTATACATGGCCCTGCCCCATGGTGATATAGGCAATTTGATCTGGAGGCTTTATGTTAGCAGTTTAGGGTGATCGGTATTTTATTTACAAAAAAAACCAAACCCATATCTTTTTCTCTCATGTATTTCCTGAATCTTTTCCAACCCAAAGAAATATATTTAGAGGTGGGGAGAAGCATACTTGTTCACTAACCCAGAGGAGGCTACTGCCTGGAAGTATCTCCCATGTTCCAGAGTGGTGCTCTCTCTTTTTCTCTGCAGGGTTTGGCAACACTGATTCTATTCTGCGCACTGAACAAGGAGTTCCTGGAAGCCTGGAAAGGGGCCTGCCTGGCCAAGAAAGGCGAAGAAGCCCCCAGAAGTGGCCAGGTATGGACTGGGAGGAGATAAAAAGAGGTTCATTTGTTCTAATTGTCCCCATTCAAACAGACTTGATTATTCTTTATTCTATTTATTTACTTGATGACTGTAGGCCAGTGCTTTGATATTCTTGAGTGACTCGGGCCTTCTTCCTACTACTGAAGCTGGTCCTCAAGACAGTTTGTCATCTTAATATACGGACAGTCAGATAGATTCCCTCTTGTTGTCCCTTCTTCTTCCATGTCAGGGCCACAATGCCTACAACAACACAGCACTATTTGAGGAGAGTGGGCTCATTCGTATCACCCTGGGAGCCTCCACAATCTCGTCTGTTAGCAGTGTGCGCTCAGGCCGTACTCATTCTAGCCAGCGGGGCTACCTCAGGTAGGAAGTTCTCCGTGGCGTGTCTGAATACATGCTTTGGCATGTTTTGGGTTTTTTTTATATGGAAAGGCGGGATAAGTTTTAATAAGTAAATAAATAAATTGATCTAAGGAAAATTGTCTGTGACTTAGTAATAGGGTTGCCAGGTGTCCACTATTTGAGTGGACAGTCCACTTTTTTCACATTATGTTCACTATTTTTTTTCACAAAATAGTGGACATTTTTTTTATTCAAAAGCTTTATGATGAAATGGTACGTAATCTAAAGCTGTACAGTCTACTTTTTTTACTACTTAACCACCCCCCACCCCCCCCGCTTGTCTGCTATTTTTTGGAAGCAGACCTGGCAACCCTACTTAGTAAGGGTACCATTTCTTCTGGGCCTTACATATTCTGTTCTGCATGTGAGCAAGGGTTTGAAAGCCACTTAGGTGATAGTGCACCAGTCTCAACATTATGAGCCCCATTGATTGTTCTTCCCTCCGTTCCCCAATATATACTCAGCTAGAGTTTCATTGAGGCCTAGTGGGTATACAGAACGGGTATTGACAGAAGGAGATGAATTGTACAACGAAGTAAACCTTCTGATTCTAACCCAATAGCTTTAAAAAAACTTCTCCACCACTCCATTCACATATATTTTCACTCTTTAAAATATAATAAACATGAGCTTATCTGAATCATCTCATTTCCCACACTAACCAGCCAGATGGCTTTGGAAACTAATAAGCAGTGCGGCAGACTTTTCCTGCTGTTGTTTCTCATCAATTTATACAAAAAGTCACGTAGCCCCTGAAGGTAGCATGCCAATTTACTCTTCTGTAACCATAGGTAGCTTGATGGCCATGATTATGTCAAATCCCCTTTTAAATCAATCACCACATCTATAATCCATTTATACAAATATGTCACATTTGCATATTTGATATTTACCTATAAGTCCCTAAACAATTTAGGATTGGGATGCAGGAGAATGCCTTACCGTCCCCTATATAGATCTTTCTAACCACTAATTTGAAGAATTTGGCTCTGCAAATTATGTCACATTCTCTGTGTCCTTTGCCTTTTACTTGACACCAATCGGGGAAAGAACCCTTTGGAAAGCCCTCTCTCCCGAAAGAAAACACATGAGTATTATTAAAATTGAATCTTGTGCTGAAGATCTTTTTACTCGTGGTTATTTGAAAACTGACGAGGATACTATTGTTCTACTAATGGGATTTGTATGTGTTGTATTATGATATGCCCCGTGTTTTTATAACGTAAATGGAAACATGATACATATATACTTAAAATATGGCTTATTTGTTTGCCTACTGGAGCAAGTCACCCACTGGTGATGCATTACAGTGCCAATTCATGAAGAACAACAGAGTCATTGGTGGTGTGCTACATATCACCCTCCTTTGCTGTTATGCAGCAGAGATAAGATTACTGTTGCTTCCTCACACCAGCCTTCCCTGTTCTGATGGATTGGTAGTTGCTGGCTTTCAACAACATTTATCTAAGGTACAGCAGTTTTTCATGGTTTAGAATAGATTCAGGCTCTGAAACTACTCAAAAGTGCCTGAGAGTTTGGGTTTTGCCAGCTCTTAATGGATCTACGTATGTTCTGTGTTCTGAGTTTCAGAGAGAACATGATAGCACATCAAGGCTCGGCTCTGGATCACAATTTGCTCAACCATGCTGGCCCCACTGACCTTGACGTAGCCATGTTCCATCGTGATGCAGGTCCAGGTAAGGGGTAGCTTCTAATGGGTATAAAAGAGAGGTTTCCGCTCCTGGATCTAAAGCAGAGGTCCCAACTTGAGAAGAAATCTCTCTGATGCTGTCTATCAAATATTTCAGATACAAAGACTGTGAGTATCCAAAGGTTTTCCTAAGAAAGGACAGGTTTATATCTAACCGGATCTTTCTTATTGAAACATCTTATTGGCACACTGACTTGACCTGGCAGGAGTCTGGTCATTGTGACTGATGACATGCTTTGTGATTTCAATTTTGCAAGCTATTTAACTTTTGGGTGATTCATATCCTGGGAAGCTGTTCTTCCTTACTCTTCTTCCCCCTCTTCAAATATTCCCTATCTTATCCAGATCAAGACTCTGATTCAGACAGTGACCTCTCCCTAGATGAAGAACGCAGCCTCTCAATTCCCTCTTCAGAGAGTGAGGAAAATGTGCATCTCCGGGGCAGATTCCAGAGGCCGTTCAAAAGGGCAGCCCACAGTGAGAGGCTCCTCACCAATCCTAGCAACAATGCACACAAAGGCAAGTCCCCAGGACTCTGAGAAAATGCTGAGTCATGGGGGATTGGGGGGTGGGAGGGAGCAGGGCTCAGGATGGTCAGAGGCTGGGTTGACACAACCTGCTAGCTTAGCTAACCTCAGAGTAGGAAGGTCAAGGTTCAAAAATAATTTTATTTTTCACAAGTGGATCTTTTTGAAACGAGGAAGACTCCATTTTATTGTAAAGTAAAATATAAGTATTTGATTCATGTATGAGCTCCTCTGCATATAGAAGGTCCCTTCCAATTCATAAAAACTTTATAGAAATTGGCAGAAAATTTGTGATCATCTCAAGAAGGTGTCCAGTCTATTATCTGTAGTATAAGTGTGAAATATACAGTTATTAGTCATTAGTAATTCTGGGCAATTAGTAATTCTGGGCAATTAGTAATTCTGAAGCATAATATGCTAGTATGCGTAGGTCCTAGTAACTTCACTCCTCCCATTGAAAACAAATGGATCAGCTAACCCTTAAGAATGAGAACATACGGTGGCAAAATGTTATATTAATGTATGAGATATCCTGTGCTCTCCCTCTGTACATCTGCAATGTTCTTCCCTAGATGTTGATGGTAATGATCTGATGTCCTATTGGCCAGCACTGGGAGAATGTGAGGTACACCCCTGTTCTCTCCAGAAATGGGGCTCAGAGAGGAAGCTTGGATTTGATGTTAATAAGGATACAGCCAACAATAACCAGCCAGACTTGGCTTTAACCAGTGGGGATGAGAACTCTTTCACTCAGACCCAACGGCAGAGAAAAGGTGAGATGACTTAAAGCACAATCAGCCTACAATTAATTGGGGTTATTCTCTCTTAGACTAACCTATTTTACATGGCTGTTTGCAGGATTATTTTAGGGAATAAAATAGGAGGGAATAGTAGGGGAAATCTTGGCTGCAAATAGGGGCATCTGCAGAAACAAATGACAGTCCCTCACAGGTTAAAAAGGAGTGGCCATTCAGTCTACCTGACCATGCCTGTCATTTTGAAGCCAGTAACCATCACTGCAGGTGTGCTGGCTGCAAATATGTGAATAAGGAACCTGTCTACACAATTACAGCTCAGTAGTAACTATCAGTCATTCATAAACAGAGTAACAAGTTACTATTCTTGGAATACAGAACCCCCAGTCAATTTCTCCAGACAATGCGTGCTATCCCATGAGCCATTTGATCAGATAGACACTGACAAGGTTTCATGACATCAGCAGCCTTTCCCCCATTCATGGGGCAGGCAGCAGTGAAGATGGAGGGAGGAAAGGGAGGAAATGATAAATGGCCAGGGCTCCAAGTCATGATTCACATCAAAATTTACAAGCGTCTCTCTTGAGGTGCTTGTCCCTGATGTTTCCCTCTCTTACAACAATCATCTGTTTCCCACAAGTTGTACACTCATCAGCTTCACTGATGTCCACTCTAGACCTACTATCTGTTTCAGCATGGCTGTCCCTTCAAGCTAATAGCCTCTAACCCAGGGCTTTTCAACCTTTTCACCCATTGTACCACTTTTAGGATATGGCAATATGCGAGTACCACCAATCGCCTAGCAAGGTGTCAAAAACCTGATGACCAAAAAAAAAAAAAGGAAAAAAGTGATAAAGTACAGGTAGTCCTGGACTTACAACAGTTCGCTTAGTGACTGTTCAAAGTTACAATGGCACTGAAAAAAGTGCCCCCCAAGCCACAGCCGAGCAAGACACCTGCCTGCCCACCCGGCGGCGTCTTCCTCCTGTCCGAGGTTTTCATTGTTGTAAGCATTTCTGTTGAGGATTGGCAGCAGGGGTGGGGTAGGGGGTGTTTGGTTTTTATTCCCCCATCTGCTGGGTGATTGCAGCAGGTTTTGGTCACTTCACATGACCCTGGGACACTGTGACCATCATAAATATGAATCAGTTGCCAAGCATCTGAGTGTAAATCACAAGACCCTGGAGATGCTGCAACATTCCAGCTGATCGGCGCTTCTTCTGGCTTCAGCAGAAGCCCCAGGATCAGTGCTGCTTTCCAGCTGATTGGTGCTTCTTCAGGGCTCAGCAGAAGCACCAGGATCAGCGCCGAGCTCCAGCTGGAGCCTGGCGCTGATCCTGGCACTTTGGCTGAGCCCTGACAGCCCTGCAGCTCCAGCCATCTCTCGCTCAGACTTGTGCGGTGCTGCCACCAGTTCAGCTCATTCCCCTCCCTGCTACCACTTTTCTAGGATGGTCGCGTACCACCTGCCAGGTGCCAATGTACCACAGGTGGTACCCGTACCACTGGTTGAAAAGCCCTGCTCTAACCAATCTCCCAGCCAAGAAGGTCTATGAGAAAAAAGTATCCTGCAAAACCAAACAAAGGAAGAAAAGCAACAGGATAGAAGACACATGTCCCTGTCACAGCAAATACCATAAGTGGCATAAGACCACTCAGGTGGAAGTTGAAAAGAACATAACTCCAGGCTCTTCCCTGGCACCCAGGAAACACAGCCAGACCTAGGAAAACAAGACAGCAAACACAGGATCCCGCCCATTCCAACATGGAAGTGGTGCTTCCCAAAACAATTGTTTTGGAACACAGTTGTTTATTTACATTTGGTAGCATATAACAATGTGCAGGTGAACATGTTCAGAACTCTGGCACAAGAGACTCCACAGAGTTTTGTTTCTCCACATTTGGAGTGATTGCTTCACTTGGAGTGTACGTATGCAGAAGGAGTGACTGAAAACAGCGTTCATATAACAGATAGATTTCCATGTTATAGGCAATCCTCATTTAATGACCACAGTTGGAATTGACAATTCAGTCGATTGCTAAATAAAACCATGACTATACTTATAATCTTATTTCAGCTTTCCTTTAAAGAACTGTGAAGGTCATAAATGTGAGGATTGGTTGGAAAGTTACTTTTTTATCACTGCCATAAACAGTGGCCAATAAACAAAGCAGTCACTAAATAAGGACTATCTGTATTGCCTTGGGATCTTGCCGAATAATGCTCAGATATCCCCCTTCTCAGAGGCCCATAGATGGAGAACAGATGGCACTCCACCAGTCCTTCAGGTCCACTGGCACATCAATTTACTTATATGGAAGGGAAAGTACAGTAAATGCTACGATAGTACTTCCCCAGAAATGGATAAGGTCACCAGTTGCTATATGAGCTTTAATTCTGAAATGCATCATTGTGAAAAGCATGCTTCCTTATAGATTGGACTTCCAGACCAACATTTTCTCAGATATGGAAATAGGCACCAAGATTTTTTTCCCCTTTGTGTTGCTTCCTTAAATTTCTTATGTCAAGTTGCTAAAATATAGAATCTGAAACATCATGCTCCTTCCTTCCTTCCTTCCTTCCTTCCTTCCTTCCTTCCTTCCTTCCTTCCTTCCTTCCTTCCTTCCTTCCCTAATAAATGTTTTGCTCTGATTTTATTTTTAAAAAAACATGTTTTTGCATATAAAATGGCCGAATGAATAGTTTTGTGCTTATTGAGATATTAAAGCCAAACTGTAATAGTCATTTATTGATCAGGTAGCAGAAAGAAATCAGGGTGGATTTATCATTTTTCCCTTTTCACCTGCAGTCGGAGATGAGCGCCACCCCCTATAGTCAGCAACGACTAGCAGAGTAAAATCCTCAAGGAATCCTTTCCTTTCCCTCCCTCCCTCCTCACCTTTGTTTTTTTAAGGAAGAGAAGCAAAGGAATAGATATTGGTTTGAATCATCTTGAAAAAAATCTGTTAAAGCAGGAGGTGTTAAAGAAAGGTTTGAATAGACGAGAGAACCAGACTGCTTGGTAAAAGGCAACTATTCCAAACAAGGATGAGCCTAATAACAAGAGTCAGAAAAAGTGATTGGGACTGACAGTGGTGTCAAAGATTGGGCAAAGCAGAGAGAGGAGGAGGAGGAGAAGGAGGAGGAGGAGGAGGAGGAGAAGGTATAAACCAGTGAAAAACATATAAGCATTTCAGACTAAAGTTGAATAAGGAGAATAAGGAGACAAAAAGAGTGCTGTTACAGAAATGGGAGAGAAAGAGTTGTTGCAGGGATGTGTATCACATCATCACAAAAAAAAACCACCTGGAAATAATTCCAAGAGGAGAGGGCCTTAGACTTCTCACTTGTTTCTACTCTNAGGTATAAACCAGTGAAAAACATATAAGCATTTCAGACTAAAGTTGAATAAGGAGAATAAGGAGACAAAAAGAGTGCTGTTACAGAAATGGGAGAGAAAGAGTTGTTGCAGGGATGTGTATCACATCATCACAAAAAAAAACCACCTGGAAATAATTCCAAGAGGAGAGGGCCTTAGACTTCTCACTTGTTTCTACTCTGTTGTGTAGGCATCTTGAAGAATCGCCTCCAGTACCCTCCAGCTTTGCAAGGCCTGTCATCTGTGGGCAGAATGACCAACGATCTTTCCTGGTACAAAACCTCCACCTTGGGTCACAGGGCGGTCCCAGCTGCTTCTTATGGCAGAATCTATTCAGGAACAGGCAGCCTCTCACAACCAGCAAGTCGTTACTCGTCCCGGGAGCAGCTTGACCTGCTGATGAGAAGGCAGATGTCCAGAGATCAACTGAGCCGAAACATCTCTGGAGAATGCCTAGAAAATATGGCAAGCAGGCACAGGTCCCGGGAGCAACTGGATGCCATTATGAACAGGCCTGGGTCAAGGGATCACCTGGACACAATCCTCGATCAACATGGATCTAGAGAACACCTTGCAAGCATACCCAGCAGGCATGGGTCTAGAGAAAAAGTAGGTGAAATAGCTGCTGAACGGGATCCAAGAGATCACAGGAACACTTTACCCAGAAGGCAGACATCTAGAGACCATCTGGATTCTTTACCCTGTAGATTTGGGTCACGAGAACAGTTAGACTGCAGTGGGGCAGTCAGAGAAATCTCTAGAGAATGGCTTAATACCATGCCTCTTAGGCAGGCCTCTAGAGATCGAATGGACACCTTGCCAGCCCGAGATACTTCTCAAGAACAGTTGGATCTGCTTTTTAGAGGGCAACCTTCAAGGGACCAACTAATACCAGCTAGGCATACTTCAAGAGAGCATCTGGACATAGTGCCTGGCAGGCAGACTCCTTGGGAAAACATTGAACCTCTTTCTAGGCAGCAGCCATCTAGAGAAAATCTCGAACTCCTCTCCAGAAGACCGCCTTCTAGAGAAAATCTAGAAGCCATCCCTAGCCGTCACCCTTCCACAGAACAATTAGACATCCTTTCTTCCATCCTAGCCTCTTTTAACTCTTCGGCTTTGTCGTCAGTGCAGTCATCCAGTACTCCCTCAGGCCCACAGACTACCCCCACCCCTTCTGTGGCACAGGGGTCTTCTACACCTTCCATGCCATGCGCTTCGCCACCTCGGTCTGCAACCTCCCACAGTATTTCCGAGCTGTCACCAGATTCTGAGTAAGTGTTTCTCCTCTACTGACTACCCACATACAAGGAGTATGTTTAGAAATTTAAACCTTCTGATTGAAGGGGGGGGAAAACATGCGGAGGAAGCTTAATTTCAGGTTGAAGGACTTGCAAAAGTAATTGCATTTCAAGGAGTCTTTGGTTTATCATACGTAGTTCTCACTTTGTCCTGTGTACAGCATGCCAATCATAATTGGGGTTCTTCATCACCTGAAGTGGCCTGAGGCCTAACACATACCAGGATCGACCAAAAGTTCTTGCAGTAAAAGCTTTCAGCTCAAGATTTAAATAAGTTTATTTATGTATTTATTAAATTTATGTGCTGCCCATCTCCTTGATAAGGCAACTCTGAGCAGCTTACACATCATAAAAAAATAAAAATAAAAGCAATTTAGATTTTTGAAACCAAGAGACGGATAGTACAGGGATGAGGTCTTCTTATCCCGAAAATCCCCTTTAGCAGCAAGCACTGCCTTTGGGGCCCCAACCCAACCAGCAAAATCCAGTTTTAATACCCTTCCAGAAGGTCAAAAGAATGGGAGCAATTCTCACCTCCGGTGATAGAGTATTCCACAAGGTCGGGGTCACAACAGAAAAGGCTCTTCTCGTTGACCCTGTCCAATGGAATTCCTCAGTCCATGGGGTCCATAGCAGGCCTCTTTCAGTGGCGCGAGGGAGGTGGACGAGTCCCATTGGGGGTGAGATGGTTCCTCAGATGCTTGCTGCAAAATTAGGCAAAGGAGTGCATAGCAGCACTGCTTTTTTTGTTTGTTTGTTTGTTTGTTTTCTGCCATTACTTCTTTAGTGTTCTACTTGATGGATGCAATCTAATGACTCCCTCCGGAACGTACTAGAATAATGCTACATCATAATGTAATGTCATTTAAAGATCATCCTGGGAAGAGATAAGAAGAGAAGGGTGCATGGTACTCCCAAGTTTCCCTTTGAGGAGCCTTCAGAAAATGATAATTTGGCCAATGTTTATCAAAAGACATAAATAGAATATGAGAAAAGAAAAGCAAAAAAAACCAGGGAATGACTCATCTTACCTGTCGGTGGGAATTTTCAATCTGCCGTCACCAGCAAACAGCACAGCGATATAAATGTCAACTGTTTATGTGTCACTCTATCTGTCATAGCTTCTTCCAAAGTATATTGGAAATCATAATTAGTGAAATGCTAAACTCCAGCACCACTAACTACAATTTCTAGAGACCCCTTCCAGGGATACATAGTTGGGACATTACTAAATGTCCCTTCATCTCCACGTGGATCCCTAAATCCCAATCTGTCTATCTTGCTCCTGAGCACTTTCTATCATGTCAGCTCCTGGTTTCTTCTTGCTTTGACTGCAAGGCTTTGTGGCCTGACACAATGGCAGATGTTCAATAATGCCACTGGGTGATCCATAAAGCCTCAATTCACTTCCTGTGTAGATCTGTAGCCACGTTTTTAAAAACTAGTGGAGCTGTAGTACAGCTAGGCCAAAAGAAGTTGGCAACAAATATTAGAAATATGCTTGCATGCTTATCTTACACAATAATAGTAAATCTAGTAAATAGATTATTCATCCTTAGTAAGTGGATTTACTAATAGTAAATTTACACAATAATAGTAAATCTAGTAAATGGATTATTCATCCTAGTAAATGGATTATTCATCCTTAGAATCTTAAAATGCCCTAGGAGAATTCTCAGACTTACCTCTTTTTGGATTTAAATTAACTAAAAGCAGCTCAAATACTTGCTCATTTATTTATTCATTCATTCAGTTTACAGGTAGTCCTCTATTTACAACCATTCATTCAGCAACTAGGTTGTGACAGTCCTGAATGAAGGGAATTACAACTTGTGCCCAAAGTTAAGCCATTGTAGTGCCCATATGTCCACTCAAAATATGGGCACTTGGCAATCTGCCTATTCGTATGTCCACAGAGGGGCCACACCCCTCTGGCTACCCCCAACCTATCTCCGCTCCCATCTATGCCCTTTTGACCCACTGCCACTGTGTCCCACTGCCCCAGTTCAGCTTTGCCATCTTGTTGCCCCTGACAAAGCATACCCAGCCTGGCAGGGATTTATGACCATTTGCCACGGCCAGCTCGCCGCAGCCAACTTGCCACAGACAACTCACCAAGGCCAATTTGCTGCAGGACAAGAGTTACAGTGATATCAAAGAAATGGTAGAATAGAATCATTAAAGAAAGGATGCAAAAGGAGGGACAGAATGAAATATGAATGACAAAAAATTAGATGATAGATGGATGGATGGATGGATGGATGGATAGATGATAGATAGATAGATAGATAGATAGATAGATAGATAGATAGATAGATAGATAGATAGATAGATAGATAGATAGATAGATAGATAGATAGATAGATAGATAGATGATATAGAATTGAGTCCCGCAGTGAGTTGGCTGTGGCAAGTTGTCTTATTCTGGCCTGGCAGCTTGTCCAAGCTGGGACTAGCTTCATACTGCAAAAAAAGGGGGGGAGTAGTCAAAAGCAATCATATCATGCCCCAACACCCCTTTGCAAAGAGCTTCCAGGGCTAATTTTGTGCTGCAAAAAAAGGGGGGGAAGGGGAAGCCTAATACAGCCCTTTTTTGCAGGGCAAAGCCAGCCCAAGTCCCAGCCAGGAGCTCTTTGCAAAGGGCTCCTAGGTGGGGGTGGGGCTGGTTTTGTGAGGCGAAAAAAAGGATATTTTGCCTCCCCCCCTTTTTTTTCCAGAATGCAGGGCAGCCATGTTGGATGGGACTGGGGAAGGCAGGACATAGGATGCAGGACAGCCAAAAGGGCACATTGGAGGAAGAAGTTGGTGGCTGGGGGGAGTTGAAGGGAAGGTAGATCCTTACCTTACTGAGTCTTGGGGCTGGGAGGACTCAAGCCTGAAATGGCTTGTATTGGGTGTTGCTAAGTGATGTGGTCACATGATGTCTCCCTTTATGACTCACCATTTAACAATCACAGTTCTGATCCCAATTATGGTTGTAACTCAGTGACAACCGATAGCTGCCCATCTCCAGTATACGGTTCTGGAGAGTTCAGAAAGAATTTAAAAAAACAATAAAAAACACCAAAATAATGTAAAAATAATGATTGAAAAAACAATAGAAGCCATGCAGCAAAATTCACAGCTGAGTTATTCTAATATCTATGAATAACCAACAATACCACCAAATTTATCTCTCTTATTCTCAGCTCTCCATGCCTGATGGCAAAAGCAATTTTCAGAGCTTATGGAAAGTCAGCAAGGCTGGGGCCAATTGGATGTCTTGGGGGATGATTTTCTGGAGGTGGTGGGGGGGAGGAAATGCCATAGTAGAAACGTCCTTCTTCCTTGATCCTGCTAGGCAACAGTCCCTGGCAGATAGGACCCAGAACCCACCTCTTCCGCCTGATGGAAAGGTACATGTGATTGAAGAGAGGCTGTCCTCCCATTTGACCACGAGATAAGAAAACTCTCTGGCCATTCTTGGGTGTTCAGCTTATGTTCCACACTGTGTGAGGCTATTGTGCATTTCAGCCCATCTGACCGTAGTTCACGCCACGTTGACAATGCACAATGTAATTCTTTTGTCTTATTGTGAGATGTGGTTTGGAGAAGAATTAGTGGCACAGGGTTATGTTCCCACAGCACGCTTCTTTAATTCTTCTTTAGTTCTGTTGATTGTCTTCCCACCGTGTTTGTCACCACGTTGGATTTGTGGGCGAGGAGGGGTATTTCTGCATCCTTATTAATCGATACAGCCAATTCTGGGATGCAATGTTGTTGTTTGTTTGTTTTTTACTTCCTCAAGAGAAGTGGCTATCTCAGTTATGCCTTTTGTTGTTTTTTTCCCCCTGAGAAGATTAACGAGAAGTGAAGGTCATTCCTGAGGGGCCCAGCTGCTGTGAGAAGAACCAAGAGGCGCTGCAGGACCAGGCACTTCCAGCAGAGGACCAGGATCCCTCAGAAGGCCTACAAGAAAGAAAGGAGGAAGCTTTGGGGAAGCCAAGACCAACTATGCTCTCCTCCAGCATTCAGTGGTGGAGAATTTGGTGGGATGGGAATCGGCACGGTGCACTCACCTGACTGTGGAAGAAAGGTGTCTGGGTGCCACAGGACCCCTCTCCCCATTCCAAGGGACACCCTAATGGGAAGGAGGGAAGCTACCACACCATGGGCAAAACTCACCATTAATAGCATCTCCAAACTGGACCAACTGAAACCTTCCTTTCCAAAACCATTTTTCTGTACTCTGTGCAAACATGACAGGGTGGGGTGGCTGCAAGACGTGGGTGCGGGAAGGGTTTTATACATTTTTGTATCTTTGTAATCAGAGAGAAGAGAAATTTCTATGGTTATTTTTACGGTTCTTCTGTTCCCATTGCTGTGATGCTGATCTTGTTTTCTAGCTGTCCATGATGCATTTGGATTGTGGCATGAGGCGATGTTATGCAGCCTTTCCTAGTGAGGCTCAAGGCAGAAAAATGGAGGGACCTTTTCTTGCAGACTTTTTTCAGGTTGTGTGTTAGGTTGGTCTTGTTGAATGTCTGTATCTTATCTCCTCATGAGCCAACAGTAAGTGGCAAGTATTGTGCTGGGACGAGGGTATTCTCACCCCTAAATTAAGTCAGCGCATTTGTAATTGGGCTCTAGGATCTCATTTGCTTTGTCATATATCCCCAGTCTAACAAGCCTGGGATCCGAAACAGTTTTGTATACTTTCTGATGCTAGAACAATTACACATTTTGGGAACCTTGTGTATCTATATATTCTAACAGAGTTGTATTGATGCTCCTCTTGGAGTGTTCATTGTATTAGCAGGGTGGAATCTGAACTTGGCCTTAGTTGAAATTTATTTTGGCACTGGATGCTGTCTGTGAAACACAGATGAAATTAAGTTTTTTTATATTTTTTTTTATTTGAGTCTATTTCCTTCTTCCTCCCTAGCACACTTTTTTCCCCCAAACAAACACTTGCATCTGGTAACTCGCTGTGTGTGTGTGTGTGTATGTGTGTGTAGAACTCATCGTTGAAGCTACAGTCATTGATTTTTTTCCCCTTGCTGGTACATTTTTATAGCACTGTATAGCCAGCAAGAAGCTGTAAGATTGGGATTTTTCTCTCAATTTATAAGCAAAATGGCCTCCAGTAAATCCATGCCAGTTTGCTGCTTTAAATGGGGATCCTCCTGAAGTAACAATCAAGGTGTTAAAATTCCATACAAGTATTCCTCAACTTATGATCACAATTGGGAAGCAGAATTTCTGTTGCTAAGCAAAGCCATTGTTAAATGAGTTTTGCCTGATTTTCTATTTTTTTTTTGTCATGGATATCAAGCAAATCACTGCGGTTACATGAATCACGAAGCCGTTAAGCGAATCGGGTTCCCCCACCCCCAATTGTCTTCGCCTGTCAGAAGCTGACCGGGAAGGAAACAAATTGCCAGGATGTTGCAACCATCATAAAAGTACATACCAGTTGCCAAGTGCCTGAATTTTGATCATGTGACCATGGGGATGTTGTGGCAGTCACAAATGTGAGGACTGGTCATAAGTCACTTTTCCCAGTGCCATTGTAACTTAGAACAGTCACTAAATTAATGGTTGTATGTTGAGGAGTACCTGTACAAAGAACCTCAGTTCATCTAATTCTTCCAGGATACTTGGATGACCCGTCTCACCAATGAAAAAAGAAGAAATTCCTAGGAAATTTCTAAAAGCTCCCTTTTAAAGGAGTCCTTAAATGATGTACCCTTTTCCCCCAGTAACACATTGCAGTGGTATATATTGTTGATATATAATCCACATCTGCTGAGATGCTTACTATTTAAATAGGGATCATTATTTCAAATTTATTTCAAATTTATTTCAAAAAGATGCCTTGGGGATAAACTTCTATTTGCTTTTTCACAATATATTTTTGTTGATCCTTTGGACTGAAAGAATTTCCCATCTAAAACAAGTTAAATATTTAAACCATTTCAACCGTTATATCAATACCCATTACAGAAGGATAAATACATTCCTGCTCTAAACCAAATGCATTTCCAGGTGTTTTAGCAAATTATACTGTATTTCTCTCAAGAACCTGTTTTGATCTGGCTCTAGAATTATTAAAAAAAAAAACAAGGAGAAAATAAGATTTGTAGCCAAAGTCAACATTATTTGATGGTTATCTCCTTGTATTACTGTAACAGATGAAATATTGCACTCCTAGCGTAGTACGGCTAAAATCAAAATGAAAGAGGTGCAAAAAAGAAAGGAATTGAAACTGACATCATGCATTTTATTTCTCACCACTGTTACTTTTGATGGCCATGAATTTATTTCTTTTTCATGAAGAGAGTACTAAAAGTCTTAACCACCTCTGAATGGGCCAAGCTAATGACGTTTACTTACTGTTGGGAGAGTGAATACATCCAAGTCACAAAGGTGAATACAGTAATGAAAGCTACTGTGCAGTATGAAAGAGCATACTTGTGTTGTGGAGAATGAAGGTGTTACACTATAGGCAATAAAAGCTTAATGCTATGTACCCATTCAGATACTCCTGAATTATTATCTTCTTCAGTTCCTCAGACTCTTCTATTGGAGAGTAGCCAGAACCACCAATGCAGATTATCATAACAACATGCCACTAAGGTAAATTTATCACATCTAATTAGTTCCTCTGGTTTCTATCGTGGACACATAATTTGACCAGGAAGTCAACAATACTTTTGTTCTTTTCCATTACACAAATGATATAATATGGAATATGTGACCTTTGCTTGGGAAGAATTGTGGTTTGATTCTGATATCATTTCCTGTTTCCCTCTTTCACATCAGAGAGTAGATACCAATATTCATACAAAGAGGGCCTTTCATGGCTATATATAACTGTGAAATAACCAGTCATAAATGTTTGATTAAAAGATTTTTTGGGAGGGTGAGGATGGGAATGGCAGCCTTCTCCCTGGTGTGTGTTTATCAACCTCAGTGACTTTTAAGATGTATTGACTTTGATTCCCAGAATTCTCCAGCCAGCATGCTGACTAGAGAATTCTGGGGGTTGTAGTTCATACGTCTTAAAGTTGCCAAGGTTGAGAACCACTGCTTTAAAGTATTTTATTTCCAAATACACAAGAGTATTTAGCTTCTTTCAATTTAGTCGCTTGAGGAAGCCTAGCCCTGCACAGAAGCTGTGTCAACATGTCTCTCTGAATGGTTGTCTAGAATATTAGCTCTGAGAGAACCCAACTTACAGTAGAGCTGTAACTATAATTACAATTAATGATTTGGCTATAAGGTTCCTCAAGTTTCAGACTACCTTGGTTGTGTTCTCTTGTTCATAATACTTTATTTACTGTCGCATTGCAACCCCAGAATTCTGTAGTTTAATTGTTAAACAAAGTGGACTTAATGTTTATACTGGGAACTATCAATGTTTACACTTTGTGATTGTCAGGGGTGGATGACATCTATTCTTTCCACCACTCCTCACAGAATCCTTTCCATTGGTTTAATTGCCATGATAAAAAAAAGGAGAAAGGGGAAAGATTTTAATTATTCTCCAATGCATTCCACAGTCTGTAGTTTTGGGAGGGAAAGGGCTCCATTTCAGTCTTCCATCCAATCTCTGAGTAAAGGTGGGTCACTGTAGCCTTTGATCAGAGTTGTCTTTGTTCGGTACACTCCATCCAGAATGGAGAAAAACAGTCATTATGCATCAAGCCCTTAAAAAGGTGGGTGTCTCATTTTTATGGCCATTGTATTGATGTCCCTCATGGGAGAGGGTAGGAATCTGGGTCAAGCAATATGCAGACAGTTAAGCCCCTTTCTTTTGTCAAAGCGCATGTGTGCTGAATGTAAAAGTCCTATTGTGTGTCCATCAAGCTATAGCAACTGTATACCTAGAAAAAGCTTCTTTACATTATTTTTTCCAATCTATATATGCATATCTAGTTAAATCAGAGACCATATTTTTATTTATTACACAGAGTTCAAGAAAGATTGTCTACAATTCTTTTTGGGGGGACACTTTATATTTTCCATTCCTCGGTGATTCAATATGTCTTTGATCTTAATTATTAAAGCTGTGAGCACTTGAAATTCAAAGGGAAAAGGGCATTTTGGAGCCCTTTGTTGGCAATTCCTTAAACCAAGCACTCCTCTTCCTCAGATTGTGCTGCAATTACAAAGAACTACTACATAATCCTGGAAAAAACATGGCTGCTTTAAGAGTTGTTGAAAAGGGTCAAATGAATTTCCAAAAGGGCACTTTATCCTTTCAATCCAAAATCTGCACTTCAGGGTATATTAATAAACAATCTGGATGGTTCATGGAGCTCTGTTTTTTCTGTTATTTTCTAAATTGATTTATGTTGGGATTAGTCAATATTTCCCCTTCCCCCTTCTGGAAGAGCTTGATAGGAGATGTGATTACACAAACTTTATTTCAGTTTAAAACAGAATGTGCCATCAATGAAAACCTTCTATCTTGCACATATACCCGTATCAGAATTGCTGATGACTGGAAATTTCTTAGGACGCAGCTTCCACAATTAGCTCAGTTGAGAGATATTTCCATCTTGCTTAAGTGGCAGAGGCAGCCTTTAATCTACAAAATAAGCAGATAAAGAATAGCAATGGGAAGCCAATAGGCAATTCAGGATAACCAAATATCTGCTCCGTCTTCTGTTTTGGAACCTGAGGTGGAATAGGAAAAGAGGAAATCATAAAATAAACTACTTTGCCTTCTTTATCTGCTAGAAAGTCAAGGTGGGTACATTTTATTATGCTTCAACCTGCCTGCCTTTCCTCATGGATGAAATGTAATGTAGCCTTCCATGTATCAGTATAGCATTGCCAGAGTCACTTGGATAGCAAGATGGGCGCCATATGAATTTAATAAATAAATAACTCTTGCTGAAATAGTACTGTATCGTTCCTAGCAAATGTATTGCCCTGATTGATAGTACATGGGAATCTTTGAGGATGCTGATTATTAACTGAAGTAAGGAATCCTCCCAGAAATCTGCCAAAGACTGATCAATACCGCAATATCTCATAAATATTTGAAGCCAATCCCCCTTCCCCAAGGGCAGTCTGCCCCCTGCTGCCACCATCTCTCCTGCCTGTTGCCACCCTGATTAATGAGAATTGCTCTAAATCAGGGGTAGTCAACCTTGGCTCTTTTGTGACTTGTGGACTTCAACTCCCAGAATTCCTGAGCCAGCTAAGCTGGCTCAGGAATTCTGGGAATTGAAGTCCATGAGTCATAAAAGAGCCAAGGTTGACTACCCCTGCTCTAAATTCTCCTCCTCTAACCCAACCTCATTCTGCTTCCAGGAGGGTGTTCTCCTACTGATCTTTCCCTACTCCTTTCCATTAGTTTCCACACAACAATTTTGCCAAATTGACACCCTTCAGATTTCAGAAAGAGAATTCTGGTCAGACCCTGTCCCTAGCAGGCTTCTGAATCGAAATGGCTGGGATCCTGAATATTTACGACCTCTTTCTTTCATTCTTTCTAAGCAACCTTGAGTTTTGCCTGGGATGGGGGAAAAGGTTTTATTCTGTCAGGTGATCCGTCATTTTTCCTCCCGCTCTCTTAAGCTATGATTGGTCTTAATCCAAGCAATGGTTGAGAATGAGGGGTCCTTGGTGTTCTCTGAGCTTGGTTGTTTTCCTGCAGTTGTTTCATTACCCAAACTAGGTAACATCAGTGCTAGCGATGAGAAGCCCAGCCTATCCCTGATTAGGGGAAAGATTGTCTGGATGTCCCCTTCTGCCAAATGTCCAGTACTTGCATCTTCTTTAAAAGAATAGGTGGGGGAGGGAACTGGCAGTGTCTCAAGTTTGTTCACCCTCATCCATCCATCTTGACTCTGATAAAGTCCCAGAGTCCTGGGCCAAATCATCAGCCAAGCCAGGGCTCTGATCCAAGAAGCACAACAGAAATACCTCTGGAACCTCATCCAAGTGGAGAAGCAGCAGGACCAGTGTAGTGACATTAAAGCAAAGAGGGAGTGGTGTCTCAAAGATCACTGTCAAGGATTAATTCTGAGCCAAGCTCAGAAGCCCAGGGTTATAAAGCTGTCTGTCTGCAACATGTGTTATCAATTGAACAGTTGTGTGACATCTATCAGGTAAGAGAGGGCAATCCCTACATTCCCTTACAAATGCCCCTAAGAAAAGGCAGAGCCACAACTAATAGATGAATAAGTAGAAAACAGAAATAGTTCTGTTGGGGTAGTTGGGATGGTGGAAAAGAGTTGAGATGGAGGTAAGAATTTAGTAGCTCTTTGAGGGTTAAAAATGATCTTCATTTGAGTTTAGTAAAAGAAATGTTAAAAATTAATGCTATAAACCAGAACTTTTGGGCACTTGTCTCGAGAGCTGGAATTGACTCTAAAGCTTACTGTGATGCATACTTATGTTGAATGTTGTACAAATGGGATTCACAAAATATTGCAATCCAGATTATATCTGTAGCAAGCCATAGTCCCAGATGCTAAATTATTCCTGCTCCCATTCCCATTTTATTTTCATGCTTCCCTTGTATGTTTTAGTCATAATTCCTGACTTGTCAAGAATGTTTGTGCTACTCATCATAGGCTTCTTTTCCTGAATATCAATTTGTCCTTTTGCAACTACTATGTGATTTAATTTATTCCTGAACAAGGGGTGGGGAGGTAAGATAGGATCTTCCTTAATTGTTGTTTAGCAATCTTAGTGAACTATATACATGTATACATGTTGGGTATACATTTCTGCCTTGGTAGCATAGACCCAGTTTTCATCACAGAATTGAATAAGTCTTGTTCTGACCTTGTAGGATAAGCATCAATCCAGTATAAAAGGAGTATTATGCTACTTGGTGACTTTAGAATAGCATGAGGAAAAAGCAAAAAGAATTATTGGCCATGAGAATTAAAATATTACAATATCCCGATTAAGGCAAAACTAAGGCATATTTAAGAGAAAGGTTTGGAAAATAATGAACAAGTTGCCAAGTTGCCAAACCCTTTTTCAGTCAATTGATTAAGAATAATCTGAAAACGAATGTTTAAAACAAGATTACATATGGCTGATGTGCGAGCCCTATCTCTATCAGATTACAGTTTTAGAGGAAAGTCTATAAACATGAAAATTCAATCTGCTCAAATAAAAAAGTGTCAGGAATTTTTGGCTTCCAGGATTGAAGTAAGAAAATAATTGTGGGCTTCCATTTTTCAAACATAAACCCAGTTTTTAAAGTGGACATTGTGTCCAGTCAAAATCCTATCCCTTAGTGAAATATATGGATGTTTTGGTGAGTGGAAACAAGAGATAGATCAATGGGCAATCTTACATTAAGAAAACTGGATCTAATTCCAGCTCTTGTATTAAGTAGAAAGAATCAGTAGAAACCAGAACAGGGACAATGCCCAAGGGTCTGGACAGCATGTACCCTCAGATAACATAGCCCCAGTATGTAAATCCACCTTCCACCTGTGAAGGGTCTTAGAGCAGAACTAAATTTGGTAATTTCTATGTGACGCAAAAAGCAAACACCGGAGTGTTGACCATGAGAGAGACAAGTGCAGGATGGGTAACAGCCTTATCGAGTCAACTATTGGAGTCAACAAAGCAGCAAGAGATAATGCATTTCCCACTTTTTGTAATAAGGATAACCTCTGTAAAGCCCCAAGAGCAACCTGATAAAGAGTAACTGGAGTGTGATGGTGATTCTGACAACATGTAAAGACCTGCATTTTTATCAGTGCAACTGCATACCTTTTGAGGAAGGGTGTTTGTTGATTTGCATTCATATTTATCAGAATTAAAAGCCATCCATGATTAGACAATAACTGAAGGTATTTTAGTGAGAAAGGATAAAATTATTTTTTCTTCTCCTCTGGGAAAAAAAGAACAAAAACTGGAAGCAGATTTGTATACTCTTGACTGATAATTATGGGGAAAAGGAAAAAGGAAAGGAGAGGAAAATCTCTTCATCAAACCATCTTCTATTCCAGGGGTCTTCAAACTTGGCCCTTTTATGACTTGTGGACTTCAACTCCCAGAATTCCTCAGCCAGGCCCACAGGCTGAGGAATTCTGGGAGTTGAAGTCCACAAGTCATAAAAGGGCCAAGTTTGAAGACCCCTGTTCTATTCCTTTTAACATTTTTACTGATGCCTACTATGATGATTCATGCTGCTTGTGAAGGCAATAGAGGTTAGGCTGCAAAGAGTCTGAAAACATGGGTGAGCAATTGACCCACTCATCTCCCAAATGTCCTTCATCATGTCTTAGATTCTAGGATCTAGAATCTCCAACTTGCATAGAGAGGACTGAGCTGGGAAGTTTAATCTTATCATGTAACTCTGGAACTCTCATTTCCTGATGAAATCCAGGAGATGGTGACTTTTCCACCCAAAACGTAGAAGCCAATTAGAATGACTATGAAAACTTACTTAAGACTGGCCCTGGGATAAGGCAGCGTCTCAATGCAGCAAATGTCTTAGGGGTACAGTAGAAAATAGGTGGCAGAAACAGCTCTTAAAGGGAACAAGACCCAAATGCTATGACTTCCTCATAGGTAAGGTGAAATGGGTCAGGTGAAATGACTCTATAGGATGGCTTTCTCAATTAGGTTTTGACATGTTCACAAGCATAACCAATATGTTTAAATTGCCCAGAGCAAATACAGTAAAGTTCCTATGCACTAGCAGAATTATAGCAAGGATGTTCTTTCGGGGAGATTTTTTGCCTTATGGTTGCACTTTCAAAGGGAGATATTTTGCCTCTCTTAATATTCAAAATGATTTTTCTCCCCTGAGTTCTATGGTGTTTAATCATATTAATTGTTCCCTTCTGGTTCCTGGATCTGGTCAAACTCTGTTTATTTGCAGGAATGCATATGTAATGCATCACAGCCTGGAAGGTAATAATTAACGAGATCAGAACATTAACTGGGACACCTCTTAGGATCCAGTGATACAATTCTTTCTTTGCTTTTGGTAGAGAAAAATCTCTCTTCCAAAGGTGATATTTGCTTCCGGTAGAATTCTGTAAGTTTTCTGTGAGTGAAAAATGTCTCTCCAAACCAAACTCTTATTTCAAAAGAGAGCTGTTCCCTCGGGTCTTTGGCAGAGCAGAAGAAAATTAAATGCCTTTCCTTGCCTAATCTGACCCCCCCCCCCTCACTATCAGGTTCCATCACTACCACCAGCACCAGCACCACACTGGCAGCAGATGCTCATGGCATTAAGAACTGTTAGAAGAATTATTTTGCCTGCCGATCGTACTTCTTTTTTGTAGTTCCACCTGCCTTGGTCCTGAAATGCTCGGGAAAATTTTGAAAACCACAATGCCTGAGAGCCCAGAGTCTATGCATATAGTCATTTGTCCTTTTCTGCCAGGCCTTAATCTTCCTTTGGATGGCATTTAGTTTCCAGAAATTAGCCTGTTCTACCTCCCTCCCTCCAAACCAAGCCAAGCTCTAGCTTTGAGCACCAAAAGAAACCTCTTCCAATACATCTGGGCTGCCATATGGTGGGTGGTGTTGATGGTGGTGGGTCTTCATCCCAACCATTAATAAGACATCCTGGTGTAAAAACGATTGTTAGGTAAATTACAGCATGTACCATCTTTTATTCAACCAAAAACATCTTCATCTAGTGAGTTTAACATTAGTAAATCGGAATATCCTAGTCCACATGCTACCAGATAAATGCATGAGTGTTCCTCTGCAATCATCTGTTGTAAAGTACACCTGAGAATTATTTCTGCTATAAACAGTACCCAACCTGATTGAAATAGACACTTTTTCTTTTCCAATCTTCTATTTTAAAACAAGTTTTATGCTCCCAAGTGTGGCATAATGTACTACTCAAAATTATTTGTTACAAGGAGAAATGCCTGTATTCTATTCTTCACTGCAGATGAAATCTCTTACATATGCATGCTAGTTGCTGTGATATGTGTTTATTTTGAAGTCTTCTTCTTCTTCTTCTTCTTCTTCTTCTTCTTCTTCTTCTTCTTCTTCTTCTTCTTCTTCTTCTTCTTCTTCTTCTTCTTCTTCTTCTTCTTCTTCTTCTTCTTCTTCTTCTTCTTCTTCTTCTTCTTCTTCTTTCCTTCCTTCCTTCCTTCCTTCCTCCTCCTTTAAATATGAAGCAACAGGAAGAGAGGGAGGAAGGCTGGCTCAAAGTGGCTGCTCTAGAAAATTCTGCATCGCAAGACAAGCTGCTTGCCTCTCTTGCTGCTTCCAGTTGTTTCTTAGGTCAACTTCAGAAATTCCAACCTGGGTTACAGTGAGTTGGGCCAGATTGAGCTCAGTCCAGATCATGGCTACTGCATCTTATCGTTCATTTCTCTGCTCCTTGCCTTTCCCATCCCATGTAGGGAAGGCAAGCCACATTGACTAGTTCCTGTATGGACTGGCCTACAGTGCCCTTCTTATTAGTCCATGCACCTTTTCTTTGTTTTCCCAGATGCTTGCACACAAAGATGTTATCACAGCCCCTTGCTGCATTACCTGACAGTAAAACAGACCCTTATGTTTTCTTTCCCTCCCTTTATTACAGCATTGTTGTTCTGATGCTACAATGATCAAAGCAACAGAATACTAGGGTTGTTGTTGTGGGGGAAATCAGAGGAAGAAAGAGCATTATGTATATTTGCTGTTTTGAGTGATTTATAAAAATATTAAAAGTGGGATATAAACACATAAAAATAACAGATTATACTTTCCTTTTCATGATCCTCTGTAGATCCAAGTGAATTCTGTGGCACAAAAGAATTGGTAGTTAAGCTTTATAGGAACAAAAGCTGCAATGTCCCTAAGTTGCAATTTACAGATCATATTTTTTGTAAAATAATAACATAGAGGACATGGAAGTACAGGGGGGTTGAAAGGCAAGGTGAACATGCCTCACCCAAGCTGGCAGAAACACAAAGAGTGCCCATTGGGTGAGGAAAAGGTTGCAGTGACCGCTGAGAGAACAGGAGGTGGGGTGTGCCAAGCACTGCAGCCAGTTGGAGGTGAGGCTGTCAGTAGAATTGAACAAAGACTCTTTTCTCTGAAGGGTTTGAACCAGCTGGGGTCAACCAAGGCCAGTTTTGAATCAGACCTGAAAAACACAAGGCAGGGGCATTTATACTGAGCTGGAGACGAGAGAATGATGACTTAGGGAAATATAACTGGTTTCTACTGGCAATGGGCCAAGCTGCAAGCGAGGCTCAGCCCTCTGTCTTCTTTCCTTTTAAAAACATTTCTCCTCAGGAGCCATTTCATTTAGATAACTACTTGGATATCTACCAACTGCTTTAAAACATACCTTAGAATTTTAAAACGTTGGGCTCTATTTTTTTAATGAGCCCTTTACTTAAAAAATTCAAGATAGAACTCAAGGACCCTGGTTTAATTTTTTTTTTAATTGGCAGAACAGGTTTATTATGCATTTTATTCATTTGATTAATTTATATTGTAATGCAAACTCTGGTTGTCTAAGATAAAATTTAAGAACTCAGAACAGAAAGTATCCAAATTTTTTTTAAAAAAAATCACATTTTTATTCTGTGTTAAAAACACACGGCTTTGTTAAAACATGCGGCTCTGTAAGCACACACAAACATACATGGCTACAGTAAGCAACCCTAGTCATCATTGAATTAATGTCCACCTCACAGCCTCCACAAACTTTCAACTTCCAAGTTTTTAGGGCTTTCTGAGAACCCAGCAGGGTTGGGGGCCAGCCAGACCTTGGTCGTTCCACCTCAGAAACATTAGCATCGATGGTGCTTCTTCTCCTCTTCCTAGCCCCAAGGCTGAATCACAAAACAGGTGGGATCACTGTGGCAGGCATGGAGCCAAATGAAGAGACAGGCCACTCCAGGGCAGAAAGTGCAGGTGAAGCGCTGAGTGAATCTGAGCTGGAGAAGATCGGCCTGAGAAAACAGATTCCACGAGGGTCACTTTCCACCAAGATCAGGAAAATAAGGTAAAGTATTGCTAATCCTTACTAGCGGCACGAAGAATCAGGAAAGCATGTTTTAGATTAGGAAAAGATGAATGAGAAAGGGCCTTGGGAAACATGGGGGAAAGTAAGCTGTTGCTTCCGAATGGCAGATGCTTGGAAGGAAATGATGACAGAATACAGGCGGTCCTCGATTTACCACAGTTCATGTAGTGACTGTTCAAAGTTACAAAGGCACTGAGAAAAGTGACTTATGACTGTTTTTCACACTTATGACCATTGTAGTCATGTGATAAAAATTTGGACACTTGGCAACTGACTCATATTTATGACGGCTGCAGTATCCTGGGGTCATGTGCTTTTGCAGCCCTCTGATAAGCCAAGTCAATGGGCAAGCCAGATTCACTTAACAACGGTGTTACTAACTTAACAACTGCAGTGATTCATTTAACAACTGTGGCAAGAAGGGTGGTAAAATGGGGCAAATTCACTTAACCAGTGTTTTGCTTAGCCACAGAAATGTTGGGCTCAGTTATGGGGGTAAGTCAAGGACTACCTATATTTCCCCTCTTGGGACAAAGAAGACATGTTGCCCTCAACTCTGAGTGAACAAAAGAACAATATGCCAATGCTACAGCATATAAATGGTTTCCCCTTCATGAAACTCTTTGGTCTCTCTTTTATGTTTAGATGTTTGTGCTATTACTTAGGACTCAGGGGTAGGCAACCTTGGCTCTTTTATGACTCGTGGACTTCAACTCCCAGAATTCCTCAGCCAGCCATGCTGGCTCAGGAATTCTGGGAGTTGAAGTCCACGAGTCATAAAAGAGCCAAGTTTGCCTACTCCTGACTTAGATGATCTAAAAAATCCCACCAATTCTCAAGACCTCCCTAATTTGGGGAAACCGTGCAGTTTGTACAAACAGAAACTATTTCTGGAATAGGTGGCTTGACCATGGAGTAGAGAAAACAAAAAACTGAACTGAGAGAGAAGTGTAAGCATCATGGAAGAGGGTATTGTTGACTGATTGAGAACAGAAAATTCCAATATGGTATTTCATGCTGCAACATTAGGCTCCAGGCTGTCTTCCCTAGAGAGTGTGCCTCAGAAAAAGAATCGCATAGCACATCCAAATATTTACAGAGCTTATATATAAGAGGAAATGAGATGGGATTTTGGATCTATAGAAGATGTTTAGTGCCCTCTTGCAAGGCTTCTTCTGCCTGCAAACATTCAAACTTGTCAGATTTTTCTCATACATTATATATACATGCATATGTGTGTGTGTGTATGTGTGTATATGCACCCACATATATATATATACAATTGTATATATGTAAAACAATATACAATTTGTTTTACAAAGTTAAAAAACAAATCTGAAACAATATAGAAAAAAGAAAGAAAAAGAAAAAGGTGTTTTAAAACAATAGAAAGAAAAAAAGAAAAAACTACTTAAAGAAGCGACTTCAAACTTCTTTCTTGCAGTTATAGCCAGATTTGAAAGCTTCCCCCCCCCCCCGTCTAAATTAGATAACATGGTTCCCTTGTCCCCATATCCAACTCATATCAATCAGTAAATTAAGGGTATGTGGTAACTGCTCTCTCCCTCTACATTAAATAAGATAGTTTGGCCTGTTTTGCCTCAACCATCACTGCAGTTTTGTGTCTCTCCCAAAGGAACCTTCCGGTATTCCACAAAAGACAAAAGAAAGTAGCCTTGAAAGGACTTGAGTTAGACATTTCTTGACTTTCTTCATGTACTTCTTTACATTTTATTGGTGATATTTCATTGCTTCTCATTGCTGCCTAAAAGGTCTGGAAAAGTACATTGGATTTTATGTGAAGAGATGAAGCTGCCAATGGTTAAGGGGACCAACCGTCCTCCTTTAGGGAGGACAGTCCTCCTTTTGTAAGTTCTGTCCTCCCTCGAAAAGTGTCCTCCTACATGTCCTCCTTTTCGATATTTGAACACTAATCTGCAGGGCTTTTTTTTTTTCCTCATAGAACGCTCAGAATAGTGTTCCGGCACCTTTTTTTAATGGTTTTTTTTTTAACTTTTGCATGAGCTGTGCTACTCCCACTATTGGCTTTCGAAAGCCAATAGGAATTGCTGCTAAGCGTGCCAAAACACCCGGCTGGCAAACTTTGCACATGCAAGTTGTCTGTATTATTGTTGCAATAAATAAAATGTTTCTTTTATTTACGATATTTTTTCTTCAATTTATTTGTGTCCTCCTTTTCATTGTAAAAAAGTTGGTCACCACCTTACCAATGGTGGAAGTGTCCATATGGGCCAGCACCTGAAAACTAGCACTGCTCAGTTCCTTTCCTCCCCGCTCCCCACTTTTTAATGTGATTTTTGGGATTGTAGCTAACTATTTTTGCCAAACACTGGAGCAAAACCTTGCCTAACATGCTCTGTTGCACTTTTAATAAATAATAAAAAAGGGGGCAGAAAGGTTGTGGCCATTTGTTGCACACAACTAGTTAGCAGTAGGTGGAGCGGCTCCACCTCTGCTTTTAGCCATCAAAATGTCCAGAATTTCAATATTGCAACTCTGGAATTTGATCTTTTTACTGCAGCATAATGTGGCACAGCCACTGTGTTTTTTCTTCTTGAGTGCACATCTGTGATAGATCCTGGGAGTGATGCAGAAGTTTACCTCATGATATGAAACAGATTCCCAGTTCTTTCATTGCTCCATTTCCCTCAAGGTCCATGTAAGTTCAAGAGCCTGCTTTCCTCTTGCAAAGGCCTTTGTCCACCTCTTTTCCAGATGCTCAGGATCAACTGCAAAAAGCTTGCTATTTCGGTTCCTGCCCATCCTTAGCTGGTTGCCACGCTACCCAGTCAAAGAATGGTTACTAGGGGACATCACCTCAGGATTCAGTGTGGGAATTATGCATCTCCCACAGGGTATGTTATCTGAGATCTTCTTGTGAGTCCTGGGAGAAAGTAAAATATCCTCTCACCAATTATTGGCCCTGCACACATTTGAGAAGAGAACAAGAGTTGTATAAGTAACCTTGCTGTGTCATTACCATCTGTTTTTCAAAACACCACTTGCCCCTTTTTGCTTATTTATTTATCAGAGAGAGGTTCTGGGCAGTGTACAATATAATCAATAAAATTAACATTCAGATCAGAATAATTTAAGATTAAAAAGTTTAGAATTATACAAATACCATTATAAAATTACAAAATTCCAAGATGGGGGCTTAGCAGTTGTTAATACAGGTGTGTGTGGGGGGGTTCTCATGGGTCCAGCCAACCCCATGGCTGTGTGGTCCCCCATGCAAGGCTGCACAGCCAGGTTTTGACCCCTTTGCAAAAGGCTAGAAAATTGGGGGCTTTCCTTGCCTTTGGTGGCCAGATGTCCCACAAAGAAGGGGCGGTGGCAGAGAAGGCCCTCTTCCTTGATCCTGCCAGTTGGAATTCTCTGACTGATGTATTCTCTTCCTCTAGACTGGACTTTCTGAAATAATTTTTGATGCTAAAGCTATAGTAATCAATGAATGCTAAGTAGAAATAGGCACAGAAAAGAAGTTGGAAAGCTGTAGCCTGGCCCTGCCGAATTTCACTGTCAAAATTCAATAATAATCTGATTGACTTCAGCAGGATGAACTTAGCTTGGTTTTTATAGAAATTGTAGGAAGCCTCTGGACACAAACCTTCGCACATCATGCCCTCTTGCTTTTTCTCCACAGTGACTTAAATGTCTACTATCAAAACCTGAATTACTTCTAAATTTCCACATTGAGATTTGGGCTATTTGGAAGAGGTTTTTAAGGATGAAAATAAGGGCAATTTGCTTTCCAGATGCTTTCTGTTCTCATTTCTACAATTAATCACATCAGATCTAGGAACCTGATAAACCTGGAAGTCCCAACCTTACTCTTCTGGTAAGGGCACCTGTAGCTTCCCAGGTGGTTATAGAATCAAATTGTAGCTCATTATCCTGGGAGAATGTCCACTTCCGCTGTAGGAAAACCTACTGAAAATCTGTCTTGGCTTTTGCGTCATTATGCTTTGAAAGAATGGAACTGAGTTGCTTAAGGGAAAAACCCTTGACAAAAAAACGTATTTAATGCAGATGTAAGGTGTGTTGATCTGGGGCTTATGAGAATTGTGGTTCAAACATCTGGAAAGGCAGTATTGCCTAGTCTTGTCCAAAGTATTTGAGACACATTAGCAAGTTGGTGGGAAATTACAGGAGGAGGCCATAAACATTTCCCACATAAGTGCTTGATGGGTGAATAAAACTAGAATAAGTGAAATAGAAATGAAGTGTTAATGACATGTGTGGTAACTTCCACTTCTATTTCTCCAAGGTTTGGCATATGCACTCCTAGCAGGGCTGCCTCCAGTCCATGGTTTGTATTCGGCCTTCTATCCAGTTCTGCTGTATTTCATATTTGGGACATCCAGACACATCTCTGTTGGTAAGCAGAGAATGCTAATTTACATGCCTGATGGGATCACATTTACTAGAGGCAGAACACCAATGGCACCACCAGTGACGAATCATAGGACTAGAATTCATAAGTTTGGGAAGCCCCCAAAAGATTTGTGGAAAGACTATCAAAGAAAGCACTTATTTGAACAACTGGAAACCGTAACTGCACAGACATCCTTTTTAGACTCCATTTTTAAAATGTGCTGCATTTTTCAATTGGCTGGCACAGTACTTTTTCCAAGTTAAGCAGAAAAAGTTTTGCAAGGAGAAGAGCAGTAGAGGGAAAGTGAGGAGAGCCAGCAACAGCAGGAAGAAGAAGGGAGGGAGGGGAGGTTGAAACAAATGATAGCATAGAAGGAAGATGAAGCAGCAGGACCTTCAAAGTGCTTTGTTCCCCCCCCCCCTTAAATTTGGCAGTACCTAAATATAACACTGGATACCACGTTTCTATTAGCACATTTTGCAGCACAGATTTATTTATTCGCCCAATGGATATATGCCTGTTGTATCATATTATGGTTATTAACATGGTCTAGGAAAATGGACATCCTTTCCAAAATCTTTTGAATCAGAAGAAGAGATTAAAAAGGTTCTCTCAAACCTTTGATGTCTTCCCACAGGTCCATTTGCTGTCATTTCTGTGATGTTGGGAAGTATGACAGAGTCACTAGAACCAAATGGAAAATATCTGGAAGTGATCATTGGCACCAATAAAACATTTGTCAATGAGACCCGGAGGGATGCAGCCCGAGTTGAGCTGGTAGCTGCAGTCACCTGCTTAATGGGTCTGTTCCAGGTAAGAGGGAGATAAAACATGCGGTAAAAACCTGGTTGTGTAAGCTGAATCAACATCTAAAATCTGAAAGTAAGAAATATTGAATTTGCTTTAGTGTTGATCTTACTGTTATTAGGCAGGATGAGGTAGCTGTAGTTAATGTAGACAGTGGCGTGGATATGTTGGAAGGCAGCTATTTGCAGAGTAAATTAACAAAAGATGAGGGAGTCAATAGGAATAAAAGGGAAGAAGGAACAGGGAGGCTGTAGGGTGCATATGCAGAGAATAGTAAGAAGTGAAAAATGCCATCTCCTGCATAGTTAATAAGTGTGTGTTCTAAGGGCTGCTGAGTGACTGGGTAGGTGCTTCCCGCTAAATAAACAGTCTGTAACTGAATTTTAAAAATAGCTTGATCCCAGGGAGCGCAATGGCTTCCAAATTATTGAAAGTTGGGCTTTCCTGCTTAGCAATAGTTAAGCATTTGTTCTGCTTTCTGGGTCATTAGCTCTCTGGACTAATGATGACTTTAAAAAAAAAGTGCTAGAAAATCCTGGGAGAGTTTTGGTTTCAGCAGGTGTAACTTCACCAATGATCTTTTTTTAGGTTGCCCTTGGCCTGCTGCAGTTTGGATTTGTGGCCACCTATCTTTCGGAGCCCTTGGTGCGAGGCTACACCACAGCTGCTGCTGTCCATGTGCTGGTTTCCCAGCTAAAGTATGTCTTTGCAATCAGCCTGGAAGAGAAATCTGGGCCGTTGTCACTGATCTATGTAAGCACAGGTAGAACACCCAGACGTTGTGTTTTCATCAGTATTCTTGTGTCTTCAAATTATAACTTCCTCTGTCTTGTTATTTTCCCACAGACCTTTGTGGAGATTTGCTCAAAATTACCTGGAACTCATACTGGTACTTTGGTGACTGCCTTGATCTCCATGATTGCCCTTTTGCTCATTAAGCTACTCAATGACAAATTGGATAAGAAGCTTCCAGTACCTATCCCCATTGAACTCCTCACGGTAACTTATTGGGTGATGCTCCAAGAATATTGGCTTGCTTGTTTTTTTTTCCCTAAAATGACAATGGAACAACAATACAACCAGTAGTGCAGAAGTCATGACATAATCTGTTAAATCTGTTAAAATTACAAGAAAAAAACAAACTAGCATATTATCCCCAAAATACCCCACAAAAATCTAATTATTAAAACAAGACAAAAACTTGTAAGAAATAAAATTATTGGCATTATACTCAGCGGAAGGTGAATGTTAGTGTCCTTTGTAAGGAAAATGCACCATAGTTTGGCTGCCACCAGCTTAAAAAGTTATGTCTAATGTGATTTACACAGCTACCCATTTCACAAGTGCAACATGACAGGTGCCAGAGGCGGCACTCAGAGCCCTCTCTGTGGGCACGCGCGCCGTCGCCCCAGTCCTAGGCCTTCAGCTGGCTTTTATAAAACCTTTTTCGCTTTAGGCCTCTGCCGCTGTGTGCAAAAAAAAAAAAAAAGGTTCAATCAATCAGTCAATTTCAACTTCTCGTGGAAAAAAAAAAGATCTTGCAAAGTTGGAATTGATTGATTGAACTTTTTAGTCCCACCCAGTCTGCTGTTACCACCACAGCCACGCCCACCCAATGGGCCACACCCACCCAATGAGCCACACCCACCTGGCACCCGACCATGCATAGGTGGGTTTTGGGTTGCAGTTTGGGCACTCAGTCTCTAAAAGGTTCGCCATCACTGGCCTATATTGACATATATTCAATAGTGGAAGAATGAAGATGAAAATATTTTACTCTTTAGCCGCGTGTTTAATAATTGTCCCCTATTGCCACATAAAAGGTACAGTTGAAAAATGATGTTAAGTCTTTCGGTAGCCACAAGTGGGCCTGGTTCTCACTTTCTACATGTCTGCTCTAGATACGAATTTCCATGCCGGGATCCAGAAGCCCTCCTGATACTTTTCAAGATTCTCTTTTGGAAAAATGTTAATGGCTGGGATGGTTTTTTAGTTGGAGTTAAAAAAAAGAGAGAGCAATCATTGGAAGGAATTTGTTTCCAAGCAATTCTGGGAAGGAATTAGAATTAGCTTCATCCCTTCTATTACTTTGTGGTAGAGAGGAATACGAATTTTATTCTGTTTCCTAGGAAGAAATAAACTCTCTTCATTGAAATGAAGATTTTATTTTTTAAAGAAACAAACGCAGGAGAAATGGAAAGAGTTGGGAACAAAGAGTTTAGAGAGCTTTTTCTTAAAACCTGGGTCTCAATTCCTGAGCATTCGGCTGTGCTTGATTTTAATCAAAAGATCAAGGGTTTTGGTGAGCTGCCATCTTGCTGAACCATCTGCTGCTAAAAGTAAGAGACTGACAGTTAATTAATGGATAATGTCATTTAGTTTAGGTAATTTCCTCTGTTAAAAACATCTCTGTGAGATTTAAGTTGCCTAATGGCTTTTTCTTATGAACTTTTTATTAAATTATACATACTGCTGCTTTATTGTTGTTATGGTTCATCACACCATCAGCCAGATGTTCAGACTGGATTTGGTAATTTTGTCCACCTATCGAGTCCTTCCCAAGGATGTGGGATAGGCAGATGTCAATGTTTGATGGTGTTACAGATACCATCGCAGCTTATAAAGTATTCTGAGTAAAACTGCCTTTTGCAATTGACTGATGATGAATTGGTTAATGCCAATGATGTTTTGTTGTTGTTATTATTATTGTAATAACATAGAATTATGTTTGGGGGTTTTTCATGACAACAATTTACCAATTTATATACTCTTTTAAAAAGAGCTCAAGATTAAAACAAAATGAAATGAAAAACTAAGCAAAACTGACAGATTTTGTAAACTGTGAGATCACTGTATTGAAAGAAAATTCTTCACCAGGGTCCAGTCCAAGCTGAGAATAAGCAAAATGGAGACTGTTTTAGAAAGAAGGTTGCAGTTTATTGAAGAGGAGAGCCAGACAGAAAGATGGCTCTGGGAAAGCTGACCACATGTAGTAGGGAGTGGTGGGTTGTTATACCTTCTTGAGCTTTTGTTTGGAGTTGTTCCTGTGGCATGAACTTTGACCTGAGTTTGAGTGTGCCTTTCTGGTATTCTGATGATTGTGGGTTAATCCTATTATGTCCCAAAGGTCATATCCTGCTTCCCTGAGGGTGTGGCTGATGATTATTGGATTTTTTTGGTGTGAGGGATTGTTGATTCTAGGGATCTTTGTCTTTCTAATCCAAGCTTCCTGGCTCCAATCTTTCTGACAAGATTATCACATCTGCATTTCTGCAGACCTGGTTTCTGTTTGGGGCAGAGAGACTTGGGGGAGGGATGTTGGTTTCTGCCTTTAAGATCCTTTGGGGAAATATATTCTGCCTTTTTAATATTTCCTAAAATATTTCTTTCTCTGGATTCTTCCCACAACTGCAATGCCTCTGTGGTCAGCAGCCATTGGTGCTGCATTTTCAGAGTCCCATTTCTGAGACCAAAAAGAAAAGGGTTAGAATACTGCAATGGCTGAGTCTCCTCCGCTCTTATTATGCATCTGAGGAACACCTAGATCAACCTTCCCCAATCTAGTGGTCTTTAAAGATCTTCATATTAGCTGACATTTGGGAAATTCTGGCCCAACAGATAAGAATGAGGCCATCCCATTAGAGATATTGCAACCTATTAAATTCCTTCATCTGTGCCATTCCTGTCATTAAATTACAAAATAAAATTTTGCCTCCCCGCCTTCTTTTTTTCAGATTATTGTCTCCACGGCAATCTGCTATGGTGCCAGCCTGAACAACAAATTTGGGATTAGTGTTGTGGGTGATATTCCTAAGGGGTAAGTGTTTCATGCTGCTTCCCCAAATCCACTGGTCTCAGAGCCATAATATATCAGATTAATTGGTTTCATTTGGACTGCACAAAATGGAGGTTCCCTTCCCGTTTGCTGAATATCCAGGACATAGCAATATAAGCTATATATATTGTGTATATATGTGTTATATGTATGTATGGGTAGATATATACTTTCTTTTGAGAACAGGCAACAGAATTCTATTTTTAATGTGATCCAGTGTGCTCACAGAAAAAAATGACAATAAAAGTTATCTTGTTTTGTCTTAATTTCCCACCCCTGGGAAATCACCTGTTCCTCTCTTATTTTGCCTTGTGCTACCTGTACAGCAGTATTGCCTTGTGGCATCTATGTTTCCTTACTGTAGATTGAGATCTCCTGAAGCCCCCAATGGAAGCTGGTTTGGGCAGGTGATAGGGAATGCTTTTGCCATTGCTATTGTTAGCTATGTCCTTTGCATCTCCCTTGGGAAAATCTTTGCCCTCAAGCACGGTTATAGTGTGGACAGCAACCAGGTAAGACATTTGTTATGCTTTCATTATCTTGGCTTCCTGGCTTTTTCCCCCCTCCCTCTTTGCCTTGATTTTATTTTCTCTCTTGATTGTCTTGTCCACTATCTATCTACTCCTGTTGCAGGTAGTCCTCAATTTACAACCAGTTGCTTACCAATGGTTCAAAGTTATGAAGGATCCTCCCAGGAATACCAACAACCCACCTCTGAAATTTCAACGTTTCTCTCTCTCTCTCTCTCTCTCTCTCACACACACACACACACACACACACACATACACACACACACACACACCTGCAGTACCATGACTGCAGATCAGGCACTCAGCAACTGGTCTGAATTTATGGTTATTTGCAGCATCCTGCATTCACACGATCACATTTTACAATGGTTTTGTCAAAACCCGGCATTTACTTCCAGTTTTCACCCAAACTGCTCCATAACAAACCATTGATTCACTAAACAGTTGCGGTGCTTGCTTAACAACTGCAGCAAACTGCTTTAAGACTGCAGTTTACTTAACAACTGCCACAAAAACTATTGTAAAATCAGATTAGTCACCCGGGTGACCCATGTTATAACTATTGTGACTTACGGCAGTAATGGGCAGGCTCCATTAAAGTCCTAAATCCTACCTGTGCTGTACTTCTGAGTCAAGGGATGGGCATACAGCCATCCCAAAGCCTCTTCCAAACTTTTTTTCCCCTCTCCAAATAAAGAAACACACATTGACTTCTTCTCAACTCTCTTGCAGGAACTGATAGCCTTGGGACTCAGTAACGTCACGGGTAGCTTTTTCCATTGCTACAGCATCAGCTGCTCCATGTCCCGCTCCCTAGTACAAGAAAGCACAGGAGGACACAGCCAGGTAAAGGCCAGTTAAGCCTGTAGCCTTTTTCTGAAACGAGGAAGTAATTGTGCAGAAATTGAAATCAATCAAATGGATGGACAGCGGAACAGACCTGCAGAGAGCTCAGTGGGAACTAATTGAAAGGCATGCTGGGATAGATGAGTTCACTCTGATGAATGCAGTGGTGCAATTAGCTTTAGAAATCACATCAATTAGTCTTGCAGTGGACTGAGGGAGGACTTGTTTATCCCGAGAAGATGATTGTATTTATATTATGAAATATAATAAGCTACTTACATTTAGGGTAATTTTTTTTAGTGTTTTTCCGAGTGGCCCATGAATCTGCTCACAAATATTAAGCAGCCTTGAATATGCTACTGGAATTAACATGAAGTTCAAACCTTTATTTTATCAATATTCTCTCTGAATGTGTGAGACAAATAACTTATTGAGGGCTGTTTGCTTTCCTGCTTTCAAAAAAACAACCCAGTATCCACCATGACCACAAAAGTGGTCAGTTTTCTACAGATCTTTTGGCACTATGACTGCCTCTATCTCCAGACTGCTCAGACAATTGGAGTGACAGGAAATACTGCTCAAGGCCAAGCAAATAGTAAAAGTAAATATGTCTTGAACTGAGACAGACACTCACTGACTGTGGATAAATATATGCAGTTTTCTGATAGCGATATGGAAGGATTTTTCCATTTACTTCCTTTTTTCTTTTTACTTTCCAGTTGTAGTATCACAGATTGTGAGATTTAGAAAGTACCTTTGGAGATCATCTTGTCCAACCTCCTGCCCAGTGCAGGAATCAATTATTTCAGCATCCCCCTCGGTTGGCTATCTCATCCCTTTTGAAATCCCTAGCAAAAGAGAGTCTACCGCCCCTCAAGTCAGTCTGTTCCACTGTTGAACAGCTCTCACTCTTAGGAATTTTTCCTGATGTCCAGCTAAAATCACTTTTTAAATGTATTCTTTCTTCTCTTGTCTTAAGGAACATCTCTGAACAATTCTGCCGTGTATTCTATATGACAGCTCTTCTGATGTTTGAGCTCCTCTTGCAGCCTTCTTTTCTCCAGACTAAGCACACCCATTGCCTCCAACCATTCCTCATAGGTTCTTCCTTCTGAGACCCTTATCATCATGGTTGCGGTCCTTTAGACTCCCTTCAGTTGTCAATATACCTCCTAAAATGCAGTAACCAGGATGCAACATTCTCAGAGGAGATGTCAATATTCCATCCAAGATATTCTAGTTTATAGTCTACCCAGTGGTGGGATTCAAATATGTGAACAACCGGTTCTCTGTGTGGATGCCGCTTCCGGAAGTCCATTCTGGGCCTGGGCAACAAAAAAATAGCTACCGGTTCTACCGAAGTGGTGCGAACTGGCTGAATCCCACCACTGAGTCTTCCCAAAACAGAGTCAAGAGGATTGATTCCTCTACATTTTCACATTTCACTGTTTCAGCCTAATATTGGTATGTGTGTGCATGTATGTTTGCAGCTACATCACACTATTTGCTAATGTTCACATTGTGTTACATTCAGATCCTGTCTCATGTAGCACTGCCACATCCAATATTCATACCTTAGACATTTTCTACCAAAATATAAGACTTTGTCATCAACTATGCTGATAACCATCTTTCTGCCCTGTGTTCCAGCTTGTCAAGAACCACCCACATCATCTCCTAAAGGGCTTGCTATTCTCCCTATCTTTGCATCTTCTGCAAATTTTACAATCTTTTTAAATCTTTTTGTACAACTCATTTTTAAATATATGGGTCAACACGGGTCCTAAAATTGAGTCTGCAGTACACCACTTGACACTTTTGTGTATCTAGTTTGATTTTAAAAAAATCATGAATATATGTTTATAAACTACACTTTTTCAACCGGCTCTATATTCGTGTAATAGTGTTATAGTTCAGCCTAGTTTACTAGAATCTCATGGGAATCAAATACTTTTACTGACCTCAAAGTACACTGTTCCATGGCAATCTCCTAAACTGGTCTCTCTATGAAAAAGGGAAATCACACTGGATGGGCATGACTTGTTCTTGATAAACCTGCGCTGCCAAGCAAAACATTGTCTTCTGAATGCTCACAACCTGTCTAATAATCTGTTCCAGAGTTTTGCTCAGTATCAGCTTCATACTGACCAATCAGTCAGAACACAGGTTCTTTTTTTTTTCTCTTTTCACAGGTCTAAAACTTTGTGTGGTCTCCCATCCATGTAATAACCAGGCCTGACCCTGCTTAGTTTTGGGCCCAAAGCCAGCCAAGTGCTACCATCCAATGTCTTTAAAACCTGATAACAAGCTGAAACTGGAAGAAAGTGAAATTTGGAGTTATTTTCTTGCTTCGTGCAGCCTTGCTTTGTATTCAGTTGTTCCCTGTTATCTACTTTGCAGATGGCTACCGTCATCTCTTCCCTCATCATCCTGGCAACCATTTTGAAGATTGGAGAACTTTTCCACGAACTACCCAAAGTATGTTCCAAAATTAGGCTGTTCTTTTTTGAAATATCAATGAGATATAGTAGATATTGAAAGAAACATTCTCCAAATACAGTGGTAATATCAACATATCTCTTTGTGGCATTTACATCATTGTAGAAAAGGTTTATACTGTATTTATGGGAAGTTTCTTCTGTTCTTACTCATTATTTGAATTAAAACTGCCTACTCTAGGTATTATTAAATAGCATCTTTGCCATTTTCTTTTAGGCTGTCTTAGCTGCCATTGTGATTGTCAACTTGAAAGGCATGTTCAAACAGTTCAAAGATATTCCTGCACTTTGGAGATCTAATTTTACCGACCTGGTAAGTAGGAGAAAACTTCAAGAGGAATCCAAAGGCAAGAAAAGACTGATGGATGGCCATAAATTCTGCTCTGTATGAGGAGCTAATCTAGATTATGCATGCAGCAGGGATATGATGCAGTTCTCATACTCAGAAACAGCAAATAATAATAATAATAATAATAATAATAATAATAATAATAATAATAATAATAATAATAATAATAATAATAATAATAATAATAATAATAATAATAATAAAGTTGGAAGGGACCTTGGAGGTCATCGAGTCCAACCCCTGCTCAGGCAGGAACCCTACACCATTTCGGACAAATGGCTGTCCAGTCTCTTCTTAAAAACTTCCAATGTTGGAGCATTCACCACTTCTGGAGGCAGGTTGTTCCATTGGTTAATTGTTCTAACTGTCAGGAAGTTTCTCCTTAGTTCTAAGTTGCTTCTCTTATATCCACTTCTATAGATTTGAGGCTGTTACACATAGATTCCCAAAGGCAAGGAGACTGGATATGTTCCATACTTTGGGAGGTGAGATAATAATGACGGTGGTGATATATTAAATTTGAATGCTACCCAACTCTCAACAATTCTGGGTAGCTCACAACATTCAAATAAAAAAATTACAATGCAACTTTAAAAAAAAAAGATGGGAACTGCGATTAGGATAGTCCAAAGTAGGGGGTAATATCTGAAAAAGTTTTTTTTCAGGCTCCCACAACACCCACCTCACATGGTCTTTTCAACAAGACTGCACAAGACCACCTGCAAACACCCAGAATCAAGCTAGGTAGAGCTTTAACATTAATAACAAGCACTTCCAATGGCTTCTGTAAATCAGCAGCCTTGGGGGTCACTGCAGTATTGGTGTTCAATGGCTGGATCTGTCCTTCTGATTGGCAAATTGGCGAAACAGTTCTACCAATTGTAGCATCCAATAGAAAAAAAAACCCATGAAGAGGGTGTTGCAGTAATCTCACTACGAAGTAATTTGTATTTTCAAAGCACCTACTATATCCTGTTTCACATCATTGTTCTACTGCTTCCTATAGAGAAGGTTCCAGGATGCCTCATGCTGTTTTAAAATCTTTGATGAAGTGGTTCTAGTTCCATGTTATTTTTTATGCTGTAGGTTTTGCAATATGGTGCTTTTTTCTTCATATTTATGTATTCCATAGCTAAGACATAATAGAACAATAACAATGTCCTATAGCAGTGATTGCGAACCTTTTAGAGACCGAGTGCCCAAAAACTGGCCCTGCCCACACTCTACCTCCTGCCCTGGCCTCCACCTGCCAGAAGGGCCACTCATCGCCTCCAGGGCCTGCCGCAGATTGCCTAGCAGCGCCATGGCAGCCACACCCTCTGCCCGCGCCCCACAGCATCAACTGTGTGCGATGGGGCATGAGGGCAGAGTCTTGTCTACGCTGCCTGGCTGCCCATGTCCTTGGTTGCACTGCTCCGCATGGTCCTTGGCTGCACTGCTCCGCGTGGGCCACGCTCAGGAGTGACTCTTCTCCAGGGCTGCTGGTGAGGAGGGGGTCACGGGGGGAGGCAAGGCTGGGGCAACGGCATGTGTGCCCACAGAGAGGGCTCTGAGTGCTGCCTCTGGCACCCGTGCCATAGGTTCGCCACCACTGTCCTATAGGGTTATTTAAAAAGCATCTCAATAGTCCACCTGACATAAATCAATTGCTTTCAAAATCTTGGATGACTTGACAAGGTTAGTCAGGACCACTGGCCAGCTGCAATTTTGCACCAATTCACATTTGCTAATATTTCTCAAAAATAATAGCTACTGAATGTCTCCCTCTTCTAAAATTGAATGGAAATCCCAGTAATGCTTTCAGTACTGTTGTTATTCTCTCATTCTCATATCTCCAGCTTATCTGGCTTGTAACTTTTGTCGCTACGGTACTCTTGAATCTTGACTTGGGACTGGCAGCAGCTGTGACATTTTCACTCTTCACTGTCATATTCCGGACTCAGATGTGAGTATTACACTAGCTAGCAAGAGGATGGGAGAAATAGATTTGGCAATTGCTTTTTGCTAGACTTTTATAGTGCAGCAGTATAAGGCATTTATATTCTGCCCCATTTCAAAAGATTCAGGTTGGTTTGTTCAAAGATAAGATCGTATTTAGAAACTGACAAGCAGAACTGTGCTAAAGTAAGGCAAGTAATATCAAACATTTTTTTTATCAGAGTGTGTAAGCCAAAGATAAACATGAGAACTGTGGTCCCTTAAAGCTACTGAATTATACTTCCCAGATCCGTCAACATAGTCCATTCTGCCTGGAGGTTCTGGAGGTGAAGTTCAGTATCTAACAGAAGACAGACTCCATCTTACTATTGGTGGAACTTCTAATTTCAGTACATATGCATAATTAAATCAAAACACTGTTATTACAATGAAGCAAGAAAAGCACCTTATATCTGTATATGGAACCATTTAACTATATGCTTAGTCTATATGTTTAATCTAAACTGTGCTAACTGAACAGAGTTAAAGCATAAGCCATTCTTTTTGCATAATCAGAGTATAAATACTCAAAAAGTTGTGTTACATCTTTTTTCATCATTGCAATCTTTCAGTATCATGGGTAACATTCAAAAGAGTCATCATACTTGGCTGGCTTTATCTAAAATTACTTATATAAACAATTACTGTATTAGATAATCCAATAAAGAAACTTTAACATATAACTATATAAAGCAAGCAGCTTCTTTGTCCATGAGGAAGTCCAGATATAGATGTCACAAAGGATCTATTGTGAGAGCAGGCTAAACCCTTTGCTAATCCTTTTTCTCTTTTATTACCTTTCCTAAGGCCTTATTATTCGATTTTGGGACAAGTGTCCACCACAGGAATTTACAAAGACATTGCTGAGTATCATAAAGTAAGTATGTCATGAAAATGATTAAAGGAGATGGTTGTCTGGAACTGCATAGGAAAAGATATTTATTTACGGTTAAACTTTCTATGCCACTCTTTCTGGACTGGCTCTAAACAACTTAAAAGGCAATGCATTAAAGATAATTTTTTTTAAAAAAACAGGCAATACAAACAATATTGTGGAGTACCTTGTACTCTCTGAGCTTGGTTATTTGCCTGCAGACATTTCATTACCTGAGTAGGTAATATCATCAGTGCTAGTGACTGTGGGATTTGCTCCCTATTTATATTCAGTGGCTTGCCCTGGCAGTTTTGGTGGGAATGTGGTTCTCTGCTCTGTAGTTCCTTAATTAGGGTATTGTTTCCTGTTTGATTGTTCTCCTGGAGGTAATCCTTGCTTATCTTATTGCAACATTAGTATAATAAATATCTACCATGGGCAGGGCCAAATAATATCTCCGGATGGTCTTATTGAATAGCCAAGTTTTTATAGTCCTATGAAAATCCACCAGGGAAGAAGTATTGCAGGTCGGAGTGGGCAAGAAGATTACAAATGCAGACCACCACTGTGAAGCCCAATTAGGTCCTGATCCTTGCAGTGGCAAAGTCCGTATTGTGCTTATTAATCCTCTGGGAAACCTCCTCTAGCCAAGAATTACAGTTATTATGTTGGGTTTAAATGACACAACTGACATGCCTGCCTGTGATCTCTGAGAAATTATCTGCCCAGCAAAACAACAGAGAATGATCAGTAAAGCTGCTGTGCTTACAATCTTCTTGTCCAACATTTCTGCTTCTTTTGTGTCTGGATTGGAGCAGACTTCCACCATCTTTAGATCTTATTTTACATATATCTTAATGTTCCTGATTTATCTTCCCTGGCTCCAGGGAATTACAAACGCTTCTCTACGGGAGGGTGCCTTCCCCGCGGTCCTAAAGGAGGAGGTGGTGAGGCCCCTCCTTAAGAAGCCCTCCCTGGATCCAGATGTATTGGCAAATTATCGCCCAGTCTCCAACCTACGCTTTGTGGCGAAGGTTGTTGAGAGTGTGGTTGCACAGCAGTTTCCCCGGCACCTGGAGGAAACGGTCTATCTAGACCCTCTCCAGTCGGGCTTCAGGCCGGGATACAGCACGGAAACGGCA